AAAAAAAGACTCTGAGGACTGAACTAGATAGACCACAACCCAATTCCCAGCCACGGAACTGACTGACCGCCGGGTGGCCACCGTTTGGGAATACCTGAATAGTACTACAGAGGGTCTGAAAACTGAACATGCATTGGAACCAGAGCTCGTGGAGGGAAGGTCACAGCTTGCAACCTGGACCTAACCACTGACTGCCCACCCACTAAAACAAAAATATCAACATTGTAGTGGGATTTCTAAACAACACCCAGATTCTCATAGCACAATATTCCAAATGTTGAGGATACAACCCCAGATTACTGGACACATGAAGAAGCAGGGAAATATCAAATTACACTGGAAAAGACAATCGAAAGATATCAATGACAAGATGATAGAGATGATGATATTATCTGACAAAAACTTTAAAACAGCTACTATAAAAATGCTCCAATATATTTATTATGTGTATTACTGAGACTGGAGTTGAATCAAGTGAATCAACTCTATTCTCACAGTTCTTAAATAAACTATATCCTGTTAATGCTTCATTAAAATGTCAGAATATGGGAAAGACATGAGTCAACCAAAATACAAAAACAGTGTACATTCCCATTATGAGAAATAACCATGAAGCAGAACACAAAAGTGGGTGGTAAGACCTTCAGCAGTCAGCTGGTAACAGTAACCCCCCAGGAGGGCGTGTGTGAGACAGAAACTAGCTTGCTGGAAATGTTGAAAACCGGTTATAATCTGGTCTTTTAAAATATCGATTGAGTGTAGTTTGTATGCTTTAAACCAAAAGACAATTCAAGTCCTAGCCGTTCTATGGCACCACTGTGTACCTGCACAGTGTCTGGTTAAGTGTGTACTGCTGGATTACATGTGAAAAAATGAAAGCACTGAAGTGCTGTAAGAAAAGAGGCAAACGCTGGACGGGACGTGAAGCACACGCCCCCCACAGAGGGCCGGCAGAGTGACACCGACGAGAGTGAAGGGCGAGGTGGCTTGTTTATTCTAAAACAACTTGCAGGGATACAGTGTACAGCGCAGGGAACAGTCAACAACATCGCAGTAACTTTGTATGGTGCATAACGCACAAAAACATCGAATCACTGTCGTACACCTGACACCAATATACTATTGTAACTCAACTCTACTTCAATTAAAAAAAGAGTGAAATGGGACTCTGTCAGATGAAGTGCAGGGATTCCACAAGCTGCTGCTGACAGAAAAGGTAGAAAAATAAAATTCTAATTCTGTAAAATAAAGAATGACAAAGTCATTACACATCTCTGTGTATAAATGTATAGATACATATGGGTCTATGTAAGATTTTGTTACAAGTCTGGAGGAAAATATGAATTTTCTAGGCTGCTAGCATGAGCTACCGACGGCCCTGAGACTGAGGGTACAGGCACAGGTTTGGGTGTGGTGAGGAAGCGTCTACAATAAAAACAACTTGTATGATGTAATCCCATTCGCGCAGAGGTACGTGTGTGGGTGTGCACATGCATGTGCGCATAAAGCAGCAGCGTGGTCACCAAATGCTAGTGATGGTTATCGCTGGGCTGTGGCGTTTCAGTGACTTCTACTTTGTTATTTATATTTTTACTTATTATTTGAATTCTTTAGAACTATTGTATATTATTTGTATAATAAGAAAGCTATTCTAAGTGTAGCAAGCATTGTACACCTTAAAAAGGGGCAGAAGAGAAATGGAGAAAAAGACTTCAGTGTTTTACAAAGGGTTCATCTTTAATATACAGAGAGCTTTTCCATGCCTATTAAAAAATACACATCCTGCAGAGATGTGGGCAAAGCGATGTGAACAGACAATTTGCAGAAGAATGACTCTTACATTGTCAACCTCACTTAATTTTTCAAGGGACAGAAATTTAAAGATCAAGCCAGGAACTCGTAGTCAAAATGAAGACTCCCTGCACTGGCAGAGATGTAGAGAACTGCACATTTCACAAGCTGTTCGATGCGGAAAGTAAAATCTTTTTTTTTCTGGAGGACAATTTAACAACGTAAAGCCTTAAAAATACACATACACTTGGACTCGTAGGTTCCATCTATTTCCACTTATGCCATGGAAATCAACAGGGAAATGAACCAAAACAGATGTCCAAGGATGTTTACGGTACCTCCACACGAAACAGGTAAAACCCAGAACAGCCTAACTGGCCCTCGGCGCGGGCGGCTGTTACGACGGGGCGCAGACCCCCAGGACAGGTGCGGGCCGAACACACACCTCACGTTTATCTCCTCGTTCAAAACGTTCAATCGCAATCAGAAAAGTAAGCACAACCAGAGCACACAGAAAACGTGGGAGGAGGGCTGCCCGCAAACCAGGGCGGAGGCGTTTCTGAAAGAGCGACAGCTCAGCAGGAGCGAGCCCGGCGGTGGGACGGAAGATGGGGACCCCGACCCCGTTCGGCCGAAGCAAGGACCTCCGCAAGCGGCGAGCCTTCCCG